CGGGTTTAAATCAAGTGTGCATGCTAGTAGCATAGTGATTGCATTAAATTGTTATCCTTTTCATTGATAAGGGCATAGCCTATCACCAACTAAAAGACATCTTATTTCTGGTTAAGAAGGGTTGTTGCACTAATTAATTCCTTGGTTTCCTTCTTCTCTTGTCCTTGATGGTAGCCTTGGTGGGGAACACTTCACAACTGCCTTATGGCTTATAGTTTACTAAATAATTTTCGAGATGTATAACACATTTTTTTGGAGTATATCCTATATTATTTGCGCACTTCATTTGTATAGTATCATTTTAATCAGAGGTGCAGACAAGTTGGCCAATAATTCATTATGCTCAAAATTAGTGTTCATTTGTTTAACTCTACCCTTGAAGCTGCCCTAAGAGATTTATAGTGACAATTTTCTGGTAAGTGTGCAACCGATCCACGAGAAACTGTATGTAAGATTGTACAGAGTCTGGCAGAGCTAGTTATCCGATCTAATCTATGACAAAAATTAGATCACATTTAGTAAAAATCTTCTTCTGCAATTTAGTTAATAGTAAATTGTATATGAATATCATGAGGGTTTAATTCATACCCACCCAAGAGAATATGCAGAGATGGAAATTAAAAATTGACCATTGACAAAGAGGTTGAGTCCCCCAAACATACATTGAAACAAATATGTTAGAACTATGAATTATGAAATTCACGATGTGGAAGAGTCAAATAATTAATACACAATGTAAGCTGTTGAAATATCTGATTAATGACTAATTTATACAACATGTATAGTAGAAAGATTACATGACGAATCAAGATTGTTGAAAGCGCCAGAGGTTGGGAGTACTAATCCCTTCCTCGCCTTAATTCAAAGTGTATGTTCCTACACAAAGTTATGGAAGCTAATACCATGAAAGGGCAAGGAAAGAACAAAGCATCAAGACCAACATAGGTTGACATAGAGGAGGATCTTGATGGAAATAGGAAGCCTTTTCTGGAAGGCTCCAAAGGGCCCATTAATGGACTTGAAAGTAGGGCTAGAATCCTCAGAAAGCTTGTTCCAAAAGTGGAGCCCAAGGGCTTGGATGGGCTTTTCAGAGAGACAACCCAAGCTCACCATTCAAACGACGTCGTATTATCGCCTGAAGTCCACTCCTGCTGAAGCCCCAACTCTCTCTCTCTCTCTCTCTCTCTCTGATTGGAAAGAAATGGCAGCTTCGTCATCCTCTGCCGATGCCATTGGGACTACAGAGAGAAGGGGAATACCGGCGGCCGCATTCGTAGAAGACGTCCAAACCTATCTGACTCAATCAGGTCTAGATGTCAACTCTTCCCTCGCTTTCCTCCAAGAAAGGTCTCTTCTTCTTCTTCTCACTCTCTCTCTCTGTCTCTTATCCCATCCATATGTTTGAGCGTGTACATATATACCTCTACATAATTGCCTTTTAAAATCTCAGATCAGCATCTATCTGGGTTTATTGGAGGTTTTAGTGTTCAGAAAATTACTTTGAGATAAAATTCTTGGGATGGGGCATTGTAGAGGTTTTTTGAACCCTTTTGAGTTATTCTGTGGACATCTCTTGTTCGAGTTTTTCTAAGCCATTAAGCTAGCTGGGATCTGTACATGATCTTTGACCTCAATTTAAAATTTGGTTATTTTTGGTTTTGGAATTAATTTGCAAAAAGAAGTTTGTGGATGTATGGGAAGCAAATTACTGTTGGCCTTTTCTCCATTAAGGTCAAGACATCTTGTTGGGAGTGTCTTAACACAATATATGGAGATTCTTTTCTGAATTAATTGGTACAAGCCATGTATATGGGCAAATTTTTTTGTTCTTTATATCTAATCTTTTTACCAGGCATAATTTCCGATGTTATTGTACTGGTCACCGTAGTATCATTGGGCATGTTTTTTTTTGAACCAGGTCAAGTTATTCATGGGTGTAGTTTCAGTTCTGCAAACTGATTCAGTTATGCTGTTCCATTCTTCTGTAATTNCACTTCACAACTGCCTTATGGCTTATAGTTTACTAAATAATTTTCGAGATGTATAACACATTTTTTTGGAGTATATCCTATATTATTTGCGCACTTCATTTATATAGTATCATTTTAATCAGAGGTGCAGACAAGTTGGCCAATAATTCATTATGCTCAAAATTCGTGTTCATTTGTTTAACTCTACCCTTGAAGCTGCCCTAAGAGATTTATAGTGACAATTTTCTGGTAAGTGTTGCAACCGATCCACGAGAAACTGTATGTAAGATTGTATAGAGTCTGGCAGTGCTAGTTATCCGATCTAATCTATGACAAAAATTAGATCACATTTAGTAAAAATCTTCTTCTGAAATTTAGTTAATAGTAAATTGTATATGAATATCATGAGGGTTTAATTCATACCCACCCAAGAGAATATGCAGAGATGGAAATTAAAAATTGACCATTGACAAAGAGGTTGAGTCCCCCAAACATACATTGAAACAAATATGTTAGAACTATGAATTATGAAATTCACGATGTGGAAGAGTCAAATAATTAATACACAATGTAAGCTGTTGAAATATCTGATTAATGACTAATTTATACAACATGTATAGTNGGAAGAGTCAAATAATTAATACACAATGTAAGCTGTTGAAATATCTGATTAATGACTAATTTATACAACATGTATAGTAGAAAGATTACATGACGAATCAAGATTGTTGAAAGCGCCAGAGGTTGGGAGTACTAATCCCTTCCTCGCCTTAATTCAAAGTGTATGTTCCTACACAAAGTTATGGAAGCTAATACCATGAAAGGGCAAGGAAAGAACAAAGCATCAAGACCAACATAGGTTGACATAGAGGAGGATCTTGATGGAAAAAGGAAGCCTTTTCTGGAAGGCTCCAAAGGGCCCATTAATGGACTTGAAAGTAGGGCTAGAATCCTCAGAAAGCTTGTTCCAAAAGTGGAGCCCAAGGGCTTGGATGGGCTTTTCAGAGAGACAACCCAAGCTCACCATTCAAACGACGTCGTATTATCGCCTGAAGTCCACTCCTGCTGAAGCCTCAACTCTCTCTCTCTCTCTCTCTCTCTCTGATTGGAAAGAAATGGCAGCTTCGTCATCCTCTGCCGATGCCATTGGGACTACAGAGAGAAGGGGAATACCGGCGGCCGCATTCGTAGAAGACGTCCAAGCCTATCTGACTCAATCAGGTCTAGATGTCAACTCTTCCCTCGCTTTCCTCCAAGAAAGGTCTCTTCTTCTTCTTCTCACTCTCTCTCTCTGTCTCTTATCCCATCCATATGTTTGAGCGTGTACATATATACCTCTACATAATTGCCTTTTAAAATCTCAGATCAGCATCTATCTGGGTTTATTGGAGGTTTTAGTGTTCAGAAAATTACTTTGAGATAAAATTCTTGGGATGGGGCGTTGTAGAGGTTTTTTGAACCCTTTTGAGTTATTCTGTGGACATCTCTTGTTCGAGTTTTTCTAAACCATTAAGCTAGCTGGGATCTGTACATGATCTTTGACCTCAATTTAAAATTTGGTTATTTTTGGTTTTGGAATTAATTTGCAAAAAGAAGTTTGTGGATGTATGGGAAGCAAATTACTGTTGGCCTTTTCTCCATTAAGGTCAAGACATCTTGTTGGGAGTGTCTTAACACAATATATGGAGATTCTTTTCTGAATTAATTGGTACAAGCCATGTATATGGGCAAATTTTTTTGTTCTTTATATCTAATCTTTTTACCAGGCATAATTTCCGATGTTATTGTACTGGTCACCCTAGTATCATTGGGCGTGTTTTTTTTTGAACCAGGTCAAGTTATTCATGGATGTAGTTTCAGTTCTGCAAACTGATTCAGTTATGCTGTTCCATTCTTCTGTAATTGTGGATGCATGTTGCCCATTCAGTAATGAGTGTCTTTACTATTCTATGTGTAACCTGTGGCTCTTGGGACTGCATTTAGTTGATCATGTATGATGCTTCAAGTTTCCTTTTTTACCCGACAAAATGTCAGATAAAATACTCTAAGTACATCCTCTTACAAAACCTTTGCCTTGCTTACACTTTCTCCCGAATGTTTGAAAAATAACTTGATGATGGACTCTTTCAGCAAAAAATCCTAAAGATGTCCATTTTGTTTTCTCTCTGGGCTACAATGAAATACAACCCTTACAGAATCACAAAAGCCTAAGCAAAATAGCCCACCCCCACATAGTTCACTGAGGAGTTCTGTGTTGTTTCACAAAAAAAGAAGAAGACAACTGTTCACATGAATTTGTACAAAAATCTCTGTTGTTGGCATTCAAATATATCTTTTGCCTCTGGTTTTTCGGCTTATCTTTCTTATTTGTTTTGTGGTGCACATGGTGCTCTAATCTTTTGCAGACTTCAACAATACAGGGTGGTGGAAATGAAACTTCTTGCTCAGCAGAGGGATCTTCAGGTACATTTATCTTGATAGTTCTTGTTTATAATGAAGGCAGTGTACATGGTGTTCATTTAAAGTCCAGTTTTGCTAAATTTTTGCATATCACGAATAGTGCAATTGACTAGTTCTCAAATTGCTAAGATTTTGGAACTTGATTTTGATACTGAAGGAACTTAGTCTTCCTTCTTCCCTCCCCTTCCCTTCTAATTTTTGGTGTGGTATTTATTTATTGAGTGGGTATAAGTAGGGTAGGGTCTGCACGTTAGAGTTTGAACCATAGATACAAGGATCGAAGATACTTCTACCGTCCCACAAATTGGGTCGCAATCGCATAACCTAAAATGGGGTGGGTTTGCAATCTAGATATTTAAATTTTCGGTCAAAAATTATAAATCAAACCCCAAAATATTAGTTAACTATATGTATATAATTGTATAATTATATATACTCTCATACAATAGAGAAAGCAATCCTATGGAAAACGAACCACGATCTAAATTGACGTACCAACTAAACCTACCTCAATTGCACTGCATATCAGAAGATGTATTGTATCAAACACCCATACCAGTACTACGTACTAAATTATCTACAATCTAGGAAACATTGGTTTGAACCTTGACCTACGCACTATAGTGGCTGCAGGCTAGCACAAGGTAATTAGAGGTGGACTTAATTAGTAGTGTACAACACAACACTGGAAGAAATTATGTATGCTAGATTAGTTGTTCGGTCAATCTTTATGTTGTTCATGTACTTGGGTGACCAGTGTAGCATTTGAGGACAGTTTTTTATTTGTCTGAGCATTCAAGGACATATTAAATATGTCAACTGCAACTCTTTTTTGTGTGTCATTTTTTTATTTGGGGGAGGGGGAATTTAGCATGACCAATCTATAGCAATATGTTACTATTCCAGGGCGTCCATTCACAGTAAATACCAAGTAATGAGGAGATTATAAGATCAGCCCTCTAGTAATAGCACACTACATATGTGTTTCCCTGACTGTGGATGCATGCATGAAGTCAAAACTGTGCTGAATGTGGGGACTGTAGAAGAATATGTAGTTTATTGGTTTTTTTTTTTAAATCTTTTTTGGGCAGACCTCTTCCAGGAATGTTGGGTTTTTTTTTTTTTTTGGGGGGGGGAGTGATTTGGGGGAAGCAGTGCATGGTGCAATATATTACATGAACATTTTGGCACCTAATGACATTTTAAAAACCTAGATTATGTTTTTAGGCTGCATACATGTATAACCCAACTTTTTAATTCACTTCTCAAGTTTCATAATGCAATTTGTTGAAATTTTACAAACTACAGTTTCCAGCTATATGCTGCAAGATATATTTAACTCTAAATTTGTATCCTACACTCACACATGTACACTCACTTAAGCATTACTTCTTGTTTCTTGTGGTTGCCAGGCAAAGATTCCTGACATCGAGAAGTGCTTAGACATAGCTACCACTTTGCAAGCTAAGAAGAGTGCTGGTGAGGTTCGTTTCTGTAATGTATGAATTTACGGTTGGGGTAATTTCTTATGTCTGAACTATTCGCTATTACTCCGTTGGTGTGTGAAGGGAAAAAGCTCATAAATGTGGTATGTTTTTGTTTTCAAATTCATCTATGTCATTTGGTCCGGGAATGCATCAAGTTAAGCTGGTGCATTGATTTTATAGATAGTGTGGAATACAAGTTGACACTATTATTGATGTTGTTGAATCAGAATATGAATTATGTGTTACAAGACAAAACATGAACTTAATACAAATAATTTGCGAATCAAGGTTTTCATATGGAAGAGGCAGTCAAGCTTGTGCTTCTTGGTTTCTGCTGATGAAAACTTCACCTTCAAGGAAAGCTTGAAAGCTATATATGCCTTGTCTGCTATTCTTTGTTATATTCGGTCTGATAATGCTTACAAGTCCTCCAACTCAACAAGATGATGCAACCTTAGCCATTTTCATGAATTTGTTAGTGGTTACCTACCTGGCTACTAGTTGACGGCCAGTGATATGTAATGGCAGAAATTGATTGTTTCCTTCCATGTGAGCCATAGCTTTTGATCTGTTCCCAATGGGGGTGGGGGTGGAAGGGTGTCCATTACTCCATTTTGCATGTGATTCGTAAGCAGGCTAGTGAAGGTTATGCTTGGCTGTTGGCGAGAAAACTGGCGTTTGGGTGATCGGGGTTGCCTTTGGCCTGCTTATTAGTGCTGGATCAAAGTATTACATCTTTATTTTTACTCTACCTTCACTTGCCTGGAAAGTATATATTATTACTAAAGCTACCCAATTGCATACCAATGTTTTGTCTTTCATTATTTCGTACAGTTTTATTCATTTTTTTTCTTTTTAAATCTTTGACATCTTCTTGGGAATTCCAGTAGTTGATGGTTAACCAAAGAGAGGTGGTGTTTAGCAATAAGGTCTTCAAGTTCTAAAACTTTTTCGTTCAAGTGTTGTCAGGGCGTCTTGGAGAACATGCAATTGCAGTGAGCCACATAATCATATTTCTGGATCTTCCCATGAACTTTTGGAGTATTTGTGTCAATGATCTCATAGGCATACAGCACATACAGGACTGAAATCATAATGGTGGGCTCATGTATTATGAATAATATTAGACCATAACACAATGGTAGCCTTGCTAATGCATCGTGCTATGGGGGTTGAACTGAATGTAATCTGATATTGACATTATTTGCTCAAATTGACAGCCCACAGGCTAAAACTCATATCTCCGCTTTGTAGCCGAGCTTTTACCACTGTACTAACCATTATGCAGATCTACTGTATATGAAACCCTAACCATCCTAAAACAAGACTATTAAACTCAGCCATCTTGTGTTTTGGTAAGAGCTTTAATCATCGCTCCAATCTAGTTGAATTTGGTTGTTTTGTGCCCGAATCTTTTTAGCCAACGTTTTAAGCTGCTTCTTATATTATGGATTATCATACATTCATATTGCTAAGTGTTTCTTAGCATATTAAGTTTTTCTTTTTTTCGGTTTGCCTTTTGATTACAGGCATTGATTGCTGATTTTGAAGTGTCAGAAGGCATCTACTCCAGGGCTTGCATTGAGGACACTGATTTTGTGTGTCTGTGGCTGGGAGCAAATGTGATGCTGGAGTATTCTTGTGAAGAGGTGCAACCTGAATGTGTCTCTAGGTTAGCTTTTCACATATTAAGTAGACAAGTTTTTGAAGTTCTTCAAACCTTCATAGTGCAGGCTACCACTCTTCTACAGAAGAACTTGGAAAACGCTAAAGCCAGTTTAGAAGTTCTTGTTGCTGACCTACAATTCTTACGGGATCAAGTGACAATTACCCAGGTACAGTTTGCTTGCTTCATTCTTTACAGGGAAGGCAGATAAGAAAAGTTCAATCTTCTTCTCAAGTCTACTAGATAGCAATTCGTTGTCTTCACTTGCTTAGAAACAGTTAATCGGTGAAGTTAGTCGAAGTTAGTCGGCACCATGGAGCAACAGGAAATCAATTATGATAATCATAGCCATTGATTTTCAGGACTAAAATATTGGCTTAGTTGCGCACCCGCTTCTTTTGAATGATGTTTACTATATAACTAAGTTGGTGCCGATAATATGTGCTCTATTGATCAGGTCACAATTGCTCGTGTATACAACTGGGATGTTCATCAACGTAGACTCCTGAAAACCACTGCTCTTAAAGATTCATGAGATAAACTTGCACAGCCCCAGATGTGGTGGTGAAATTTGTTTTTCCAGTAAAGACTCAAGAGTATGGTTCTCATATGATTTGAGCTTCTGGTTCTAATTTTGGTTCTAGAAGAGATCCTGTTGTGCAAGAAAAAAGATTCAATGGTTCTCCGACGAGTTTTTGATGTTAAAGAGGGCTTGAACTGTAACAATGTGATTGTTGAAAATTATTATGCTTTTAGCTTTATGACATGCTTTGTTTGGGAAAACCCTTTATTTGTTCATGCCAGGGATTGACTCATTTGTATTAGCATTCATGTGCTTTCAGCCTTATATGAGAACTGAGATTTAGACATTGGATTGTGAATGGGTCTTCTATCTATGGCAACTGCGGTGTCTTTCTTCTGGGCATGTGAATGGGTTCCCTCTTTGTATATCAGCCCACACCACTCATGGGCAATGGGCCAGTATTTTTTTTTTTTTTTGTACATTGGAAAATAAAACATGGGTTGTTTAAACCCTCTACCAAAAAAAGGTACAAGAGAGATCATTCGAAAAGAGTTGACCCAACATAGACGGTGGGCTTTCAAAAAACACAAAAAGATCTTGTTGATGGCTTTCCAAGCTTGCCATCTTATCAACGCAAAATTTTCCTTCTCTCAAAGTATGGAGAATGGGAGTATTACTCAGTCCCATAATGTGCTTGCAATTAGTAATGATATTACTCTGGGAATGAACATCTTCCAAGCTAGCAGTAATTAGGTTGAGTGCTTCTAAAGAATCCGTTTCCATGATCATCTTCTTCAGATTTTGTGATTGAATTATCCTAAAGCCTTGTAGGATGGGTCATAGCTCAGCTTGTAAGCTGGTAGAGTCCTTAAGTTTTCCAAAGAAGCCTAGTTGCCACCTTCCTTGGTCATTCCTTAGCAGCCCTCCAACTGAAGCCAGGCTAGGATTTCCTTTAGAGTTGTCATCAACGTTCATCTTCATCCAACCTACAGAAGGGAAAGTCCAACTAATAAGTTTGGGGGGATTGAAAGTTCCCTGAGATAAGGGTTCATTGAAAGCGTCTCATGAAGCCCGAGCCATGCTCCAAGCTTTCTTAGCAATAAGATGGGGGGGGGGATTCTTTATGTTATCCAAGCATTTTTGGTTTCTGTCTTTCCAAATATTCCATAACATGGAAGCAAAAAAAATAGGTCATTTCACACCTCTCCAAAAAATGTTCTCTCTAGCTTTATAGTTTTCAATGAGCCAATCTTAAAGGTCCAAGGATTGATCCTGTTGGAGGTCATTTTCTGTTTAGAAAAAGATCTCCAAACAAGATCAGCCTTTGAACAGTCCCTCAAAATATGAGTTGTATTTTCATCAACAGCTTTGCATCTCACACATGCAAGGTCATCAGTAAGATTAAGGCTGTTAATCAAATTGAGATATTCGAGCTTAGCTTGGGTTCAGCTTGTTCAGGATTGGTTCATTTCCTAAACGAGTTCAAACTTAAACAAGTTTTTAAACTCGTTTAGAAAACAGGCCCTACAAGCTGAGCTCGTTTATGTACAAATACTCGGGCTCAGTTCGGACTCGATTCGGGTTCAACTCGTTCAGGCTCGACTCGTTTCCTAAAAGAGCCGAACTTGAACAATTTTTAAAACTCGATTAAGAAACAAGCTTTTCAAGCTCGGCTCAAACTTGACTGATGCTCGTTCGCCTAACAACCTTAAGTAAGATTCCTTGCAAGCCCCAGAGAGTTAGAGAGGAGTTTATCACTTTGAACCAATTACATAAAATGTTTAATTTTTTGTGGGATCCTGAGTTTTCAAATCCACTTCTAGTATAAAACACGATGATGACTACGGTCGATTCAAAAATCCAATTATAGGCAAATTTAATAGAAATCCAATTATAGGCACATAAATCCAACGCTTCTCTAATATGGAGAGCTTTGTTAGAAACTTCTCAAACTGTGAAAGAGAACACAAAATGATTTATCGGTAATGGTTCAAAGGTTTCACTGTGGAATGATTGGTGAATTGGTGAAAGCTCACTCCAAAGAAGGATGTTGATCCCAAGAACAGTGGTTGATCTCATAACCTCCACAAGTAATTGAAATATCCAGAAAACAGGTATGAGTCTTCTCTCAAATGTTATTTCTGATCTCATTCACTCACCACTGTCATTGGAAGGCTCCCATCAAGATTCACCATCTTGGGGTCTTACATGTAATGGGCCAGTATTTTTGACTTGCCATGGCCCTTTATATTTTATAAAGGACAAGTTAAGATTCAATTTAGTGAGGTTGTGACAAAATAATATTATTTGACATCAATTTTAATATTTTTAAAATCGATCTAAATATTTTTCGATACGATGATGCTCTTCTTGTCTTTATGATCTAAATATTTTTCAGAATTGCTATGATATCATATCATGCAGTTCTTTTCTTGGCACTTGTAAAGAAATAAGAAAAGCAGAGTCGCAGGCGATCATGACCAAAAAAGGGGGAAGAAGGAAGGAAGGAATCAACATTAAAATTTGGAGAGACGTGCAAGAAACCCCGAGGCCGAATTGTCCTGACTCGGGAAAAAGAGGAATGGGATAGGTTCTACTTCTACATCTATAAAATCACATTTGTCCTTTTCCGTTTTGACGCGGTAACGTTTCAAATCAAATACTATAACTATCCCTTAATAATAATAACAGAGAATTTCACTCGCATCCTTTTTCAGTTTATTATACTTTTAAAAATACTCTCTCTTATTTAAAATATCATTGACACCTCTATGTTATTTAAAATATCACTGACATCTCTTTTATCTTATATTTAAATATTATTGACATTCTTGACCATTAAACTACTATTTTTAATAAAAAAAAAATTATTTAAAATACCAAAATTATCCTTACATAAATCATAAATAATCTTTCTACATAAAATTAGATTAAAATTCAAGCCGTTAAAATTTATTTTTTATATATTAAAATTCAAGCTAATTAATTTTAATCGACCCGAATTTTAATACGTAAAACAAATCATAATATAGAAGGGGTCTCATTAAAAATATCTCTATCTAGAGGGAGTGTAGATGAAATTTTTTCTAAAATATAATATGGACAATTTAGTAAAATTATATTCTAGTTAATGTTTTTAATCTAACCGAATGTATCAGTGAAGATTTTAAAAATAGAGAGAGGGTGTCCTTAAAGATATGATAAAATAAAAGATATATGGGTGAAATTTTTTCTAATAATAATAATATTTTAAGAAGAACATAAAAAGTTGTTGACTTTGACTTCAATATTATACGTGGACCTAATGCGAACATAAAATAAATATGAAGATGCATTACTCTATATATCCGTTAGAGAATATTTTCCTTTAATACCATATTTTTAGTTTTGGGAGGTCTGAGGGTCAAAGTTAAGATTTCTCTGTGTAATCTAACAATTGAAAAATAGGTTTGATTTTACGAAGTTACACTTTTTATTTGGAAGAGTTCCCACCGCACTAAAGATTAGGGTCTACCTTAAAGTTACATACCATTGCATGCTATGAATACTGAAAAGTAAGTTTAATTTCAACGAACTAACATAGTTATAAAGAGTCGAATTGAAGCATGGACAAAAAAATTTATGTGTTTTTCTATTGGACCAACTAGTCGGTGGTATACGAATATTGAGAAAAAAATCTAATTTTTTTTTTATTGGACCAACCAATCGGTGGTATACCATCTGTGTTTTCATAGCTACAGAACAAAGTGTCTTAGAATTATTTATTTTATTTTCCTGAAGGATTTATTGATTAATTTTCTTTTTGAGGGATTACGCCTCAATCATCGGTGGGTGTTTTCATGTGCTTCAAATTCCATTGATGACGAAGTCAACGGGTTTGGGTTTGGGTTCGGGTCCACAACTCCCAACCCTGAACCCATTTAATGTTAGGTAGATTTGTTCGGTCATATTTTTCCTTTGAATATCTCGGTGTTAGATTATTTATCGCGCATTTGAAGGAAACACGATTCCACCTTTAATACATGATATGTAATATTAATCTTAAAAAAATGCATATAAAAGTATAGTTAAGAGAAATTTTTGAGCGACAAAACAGTATATGATAACTCCAAGAGTTAGTTCAAGTAATAAAAATGACGAGTTATAAATTTAGATGTTCTAAATTTGAATATTGGCAATCTATTGGGTGAGGTGATACTGTATTTATCTCTTATAAATACCTTAGTTTCGATATGAATAATCTGCCTTTAACTGGATGGGAAAGAGAATTAATCAAGATGTGCGTAAATTGACCCGAATACATTGACCATCGGAAAAAAAAGAACAAAAAACAATATTTGGCTGCTGTTATAGACAAGTGGCCATTTATTAAGGATAAAAATGGATAATTACACAAGCTACCTTCCATATTTGTATTTATTACATTCCATCCCTTCTACATATGTCTATACATGCAGAGAGGGGAAGGGAAAGTGGGTTTGGGGGGAGAATCCTAACTGAAATGAGAAATCAGCCTTTGTGAACAAGATAAGCTCCTGGCTAAAAGTTTATAAAAACTAAAATTTGTTGAGAATCAAATCATTTATATAATCAAAAAGGTGTTGCTGGGGGATCATGGCTGAGCATTGAATATTAATTGGGATGGAATAAGTAGTTGTTGTCTAGAATATTTATTGCTTTTTACGACATCTCTGTGGGCTACAAAATCTCCTTAACAACCGCCCATCAACTAATGATTCCATCATTCATCTAGAACAACAATCACCCAACTGCAATTTCAAGTGAAAAATATTATATATATATATAGAGATAGAGAGAGAGAAAGAATAGATTAGTTAATAATATTTGAGTAATACTACATGAACTTAAAAATTAGACATAATAATTACAACCATTAATTTCACTGTGGGTCTCGACATTTATTGGAATCCACTATCTATCCAATGGTTATGATTATCACGTTTAATTTTTAAATTTATGTAGCATTACTCATAATATTGGTCACAAAATGA